CTTAACGTTTTTAATACGTAATATTTGTGAATGTTGAAGTTTGATATCCACCTTAAACAGACCTACTTACTTATTCCTAAATAAATTATTCTTGTGGCACTGCTTTAAATTCCCTCATGTTGGAATATCACCACCTTCCATTCCTCACATAATATCCATAGTTTAAATTTTACACATTCTATCCTTTCTGTAAATAGTGGTGGATAAATTGGACAAGGAAAATGTGATGCCTGTCTCACACTATATACACACACAAATTAATTTAAAATGGATTGTAGCCCTAAATATGAAAAGATAGTACTTTTAGTAGAAAACATAGGAAAATACCTTTATAATCTTGAGGTAGACAAAAGTTTATTAAGTAAGAGGAAAAAGTATACGCATAAAACAAAAAGTTAAAAATTGCACTTCATTAAAATGAAGAGCTTCTTTTCATCGAAAAACACCAGTAAGAGATTGGAATGCAGGGTAGAGCTGGGAGAAGATGTTTGCAATACATGTATCCAGCGAAGTCTTTGTCTCTAGAATTTGAAAAGAGCTCCCATAACTCTGAAAGGAAAAGGCAGACATCCTATTTGTTTTTAATGGACAAAATACCGAAATAGGCACTTTACAAATGATTTTATCCAAATGGGCAATAAGCATATAGAAATATGTCCAATATAACTAATCATCAGAAATCTGCGAATTAAAGCTACACTGAGCAACAAATAAGAATTAAAGATATTCAATGTTATTAAGTCATTAGGAATTGCTAATTTAAAACATAATTAGATCCCACTACACACCTGATTGCTAAAATTAAAAATTCTGACAATACCAAGCAGTGACAAGGATACTGAGCAACTGAAACTCATACATTGCCCGTGAGAATGCAAAAATGGTACACTGTTTTAGAAAACAGCTTGGCAGATTTTTATAAAATTAAACATACCCTTACCATATGTATTGGTTTGCTAGGATTCTCACAATAAAATTCCATAGGCTGATTGTCTTAGACAATAGAAATTAATTTTCTCACAGTCTAGACGCTGGAAGTTCAAGATCAAAATGTCAGCAAGTTTGAATACTTCTGAGGACTCTCTCCTTGGCTTGCAGTTGGCCACCTTCTTACGGGGTCCTCGCATGGTCTTTCCTCTGTGCACTTGTGCCCTTATCTCTTCTTATAAGGACACCGATCATATTGGATTAGGGCCCATTCTAATGACCCCATTTTAACTACCTCCTCATGAACTTACATAATAAACATAAGTATCTAATTTAAAAAAAACAAAGATGAAGAAAGGACTAATGATTACCACTACACCCCCTTTAGAATGGCTAAAGAGAATACTAAATGTTGGCAAGGATGTAGAGCAACTGAAAGAAATGCTTTACCTTGGTGGTGGGAGTATTAATTGGTACAAACACTTTGGGAAATTTACAGCACTTAAAGATAAACATATTTGTACTCTACAACTCAGAAACTCCACTCCAGTAAATATACCCAACAGAAATGAGTGCATATATCCACCAAAAGACATGCACAAAAAGATTCAAAGGAAAAACTAGAAACAACCCGTATGTCCATCAACAGTAGAATGGATTAAAAAATAATGTAGAGTATTCACTTAGTGAAATACTATAAAGCAATAAAAAAACCAAACTACTATTACATGCAACCATATGGATAAATCCCATAGACATGACATTGATTAAAAGAAGCTGGACACAACAGAGTACATATTATATCATTCCATTTATATGAAATTCAAGAGCAGGCAAAACTAATTTATAGTGATACTGGTCAGAACAGTGGTTATCTTTAGGAGTGGGGCAGCATTGACTAGAAAGGGACATAAAGAAGCCTTCTAGTAAGTTAGGAATGTTCTGTATCTTTTTCTTCCCCAGCTTTGTTGAGGCAGAATGTCCTGTCTTGATCCGAGTGGTAGTTACACTGGTATATACATATATAAAATTTCATTGAGCTGTTATTTCATTGCTAAGTTAGGTGTTTTCCTACACCTGTGTTATACTTCAATATGGGGGGAAAAAGTAAAAACAAAACAAAACTGTACCAATCTTTCCAGTGGGGGAAGTCGAAGGGGATATAGAAGAAACAAGGCTGGTCATTGTTGCTAATTGTTAAAGCTGTGTGAGCCGTACACTGAGGTTCATTAAATTCTCTCCAAATTTTTTTTCCACTGAAGGGAAATATTTTATCCATTCTTATAGGCCCATTTCAAAGCCACTTCATATAGGAAGCTACAAGATTTTCTTTCTTCCTTTGAACTTCCAAAGTGTTTTGCTTGATCAGTGGAAACTCTCTTTACCAGCCTCCACTTAACTCGTTCTCCAAACTTAGTGGCTCTCTCCATTCTCTGTACTATGCACTGCCTTGTAACACTTTGCCTGTAGGCTACACACTGGTACACCCAAGCACATCTATGCCCATGATTGTATATGCTCACCAAGGATCAAATATTTTCTCCCAAACTTATTCATGTCAGATTTCTGTTACTGTATTTACATGATTTAATCAAATGCTGAGTGCAAAAAGAGCTTTTTATTAAAACTATGTTCATTACTTTAGAAAGAGATGGTAAAGGCAAATAGCTAGAAACTTTAATGTCAAATTAAGTATGTGTATAACTCTGTGAATTATCTTAAAACCCACTAAATTGTACGGTTTATAGTTGTAAAGTTTATGGTGTGTGAATTATATCTTGATAAAGCTGTTATAAAAAATTAGGAGTGGGTGAGATGACTACAAAAGATTGAAAGCACTGAAAAAAATCTAAAAGACCTTTGCAATTACATGCAAATGTCTTCAATTTCTCATTTATCTTTTAATAAATGGAAATCATAGACAACAATTTTGAGTGTGATTAAAGCAAGAAAAACAATATAGAATGTCAATCAACAAACTTATACTCAAAGAAATCTTGGCCCTACGTCAAACTACTGGTGGATGGATGCACACTGAAATGGTTTTAGGCTAAAATAAAATATTTAAAAGATTAATGTATTTTTTGTTCCATTCTTGTTGATTCCATATATATTGTATATACTTAATATGTATAAATTTTATTGAGATATAATTCTTAAACCATACAATTTACCCATTTAAAGTATTGAAACCAATTGTTTTTAGTGTATTGAGTTGTGTAACCATTACCACAATCAACTTTAGAATATTTTCATCATCCCAAAAAGAAATCCTGTACACATTAGCAGTCAATCCCCATTTCCCTCAAACCCTCCTGCTCCTGAAAATTATAACCTATTTCCTGTCTCTATTGATTTGCTTACTCTGTACATTTCATATGAAAAGAATCATACAAAATGTGATCTTTTGTGACTGGATTCTTTCACTTAGCATAAGGTTTTCAAGGTTCATCCATGTTACAGCATTAATCAGCACTTCTTCCCTTTTTTGGCTGAATGATAGTCCATCTTATGAACATACCACTTTTATTTATCCATTTATCAACTAATGAACATTTGAGTTGTTTCTGGTTATTATGAATAATGCTGCTATGAACATTGTGTACAAATTTTGTATAGACATGTATTTTCATTTCTCTTGGGTATATAACTAAGAGTGGCATTACTAGGTCATATCGTAACTCTGTTTAATCTTTAGAGAAACTGTCAAACTGTGTTCTGTAACAGCTCCATTATTTTATCTTCCTACCAGTTGTAGATGAGGGTTCCAGTTTCTCCATATCCTCAACAACACTTGCAATTATCTCTCCTTTTTATTACAGTTATCCTAGTGGGTATGAAGTGGTTATCTGTGGTATTTCATTGTAGCTTTGATTTGTATTTCCCAATAATTAATGACATCGAGCATTTTTTCATATACCTTTTGGCTATTTGTATGTCTTTTTTGGAGAAATGTCTGTTCAAGTCCTTTGTGCATTTTTTAATCAGATTATTTGTTTTTTTGCTGTTGAGTTGTATGATTAGAAGACTTAATATTAGTAAAATGTTTATACTACTCAAAGAGATCTACAGAGTCAATGCTATCCGCATCACAATCTCAATGGCATTTTTTACAGAAATAGAAAAAATCCTGAAATTCATATGGACCACAAGAGACCCAAAATAGTCAAAGCAATCTTGAGAAAGGAAAACAAAAATGAAGGTATTACACTTCCTGATTTCAAAACATATTATAAAACTACAGTAATTAAAATAATATGATCCTGGCATAAAGACAGATACGTAGACCAATGGAAAAGAATTAGAAGCCCAGAAACAAACACATGCATATATGGTCAGTTGATTTTTGATGAGGGTGCCAAGAATATACCACTGGGAAAAGATAATCTCTTCAATAAATGATGCTGGGAAAACTGGATATCCACATGCAAAAAAAAAATGAAACTAGACCCCTATATTATAGCACACACAAAAAGCAACTCAAAATGGATTAAAGACTTAAATGCAAGACCTGAAACCATAAAATTCCCAGGAAAAAAAAAAAGAGGGGTGGGGGAAAGCTTGACATTGGTCTTAGTAATGCTTTCTTGGTTATGACACCAAAAGCACAGACAACAAAATTAAAAATAGACAGTGGGATTACATCAAAATGAAAAGCTTCTGCACAGCAAAGGAAACAATCAAAAGACTAAAAAGGCAACTTATGAAATGGGAAAAAAATATTTGCAAGCCATATATCTGATAAGGGGTTCGTTTTTAAACATCCATTTTAAGTCTCATTGGAGGCCTGCAATAAAAAGTCACAGCAGAGGGAGCGTATAGCTCAGTGGTAGAGTGCATGCTTAGCATCCACGAGGTCCTGGGAACCTCCATTAAATAAATAAACTTAACTACCTCTCCCCTAAAATAAAAAAAAAAAAGATCATGGGGTGGGAAGGGATAAATTAGGAATTCGAGATTTGCAAATACTAACTACTATATGTAAAATAGCTAAACAACAAGTTTCTTCTTCTTTTTTTTCCCAACGCTTTCCTTTATTCCAAACTCCACTGCGTCTCTCCACCCTCAACCGCATGGGCAGAACTGGTGCACAATTCAAATGCAGCGGGAGATGCCAAGTCCTCCCTGCTCCCGGCTTCCCAGTGTAGCAGCCCGCCCGCCCGTCCCGGTCCCCGTCCCCGTCTCGGAAAGGTAAAATGACAACAAGTTTCTTCTGTATAGCACAGGGAACTATATTCAACATCTTGTAGTAACCTATAATGAAAAAGAATATGAAAACAAATATCTGCATGTATATCTATGACTGAAACATTGTGCTGTACACCAGCAATTAACACATCATTGTAAACTGACTATACTTCAATTTAAAAAAAAAGTACACTAACGCATAAAGTGTCTTCCTCTTGCAAATTGTTCAAGTGTATCCAGAACAATATGGAGCCCACAGAGCGTGGACCCAACATTCCACTGACCACTCAGGATTGTGTTCCTGCCGAGTCAAGTCTCCTGGCACCCAGGGTGCCCAGAGCTCTGACTTGGGCTGAGATGCAAGAGCTATAAGCACGATGGGAAACATGAAAAATAGCAGAAGGAGCCCTTGACTTTGAGGTGTGAAATCAAAAGTAACCAATAATACTTTACTCTTGTTCACAGGCACCGCAGTGCATTCCAGAACTGCCATTCCAAATATTAAACAGGAATCTTTGTTCAGAGATTGGCTCAGATGTGCCCATTAAATCTCAGCTTGAAGCTACTTCTGCCTATTCCTCCCTCACAAGTCTCATAATGCGTGGCCCTGGGCCCACAGCCCTGCATCATGGTTCTTTATCATATTGAAGAATGATGCTGAACAACAACACTACCCAAGAGTGTGAGTGTGATTGGAAAGATGAATGGAAGGTTTGTATTTTGGTTTGTGACTTCAGTCACTGCTTGCCTCTCTGCCTCTCAAGCTGCCCATTTCAATTCAAATTAAGCCGTGCTTCTCAGACTGTGTGTGCCAACAGGCTGTACGTGCAGCTGCTGCCTTCCATCCATCACAGCCAACTTACCCCACTCCAAGTTCCAGGTCAGCATTTCCTGATTGCATTCCTTGTCCCCGTCATGCTTCGAGCTGCCCTACTTCTAGCCATTCATCACGCAGCAATTGTTGCTGTTAGCTGTCTTTCTCACATGACCAGTCCTGCGAAGTGTACCAGACAGGAAGGCCAGTGGGCTGGCTGCAAGCCAGAATGTTGCCCGGGCTTTGTTAGTGACCTTAAGTATCATAGATAAATGCCACTAGTGAAATCTGGGCTAAAGTTGAAGTAATCCCCAAGGACATCAAAGGCCTAGCTCTTTCTCTGCACAGTTAGAAAGCGTCCTTGATTCCACACTTGGGCTGCAGTATGGACCAGTGATTCAGCATACAGATTTTGAGTCAGACTACAGAGGTCTGCCACAAACTTGAGAAATTACTTTAGCTCTGCTCAGTTAGATAGCTCTGAGGGTCATGTAAGAACTGAATGAGATAATTTATATAGAACACTTAGAACAATGCCTGTCCCATTAGGAGTCCTATAAGGGTTTGCTATTGCCATTTTTCTGCTCACTCTGCTTAGTATGCTTAGGTTGACCATTTCAGATCACTTATTTATCCCTTCAATCAATATTTAGTGAGTGCCTATGATGTGCCAGGCACTGTGGACAGTGATCCATTTCCTTGACGGTAAGACTTGGCATGGTTATCTGGAAACCCTCTTGCAATCAAAGCTGTGCTACTTACTACGGAAGCAATAAGACCCCAGAGAAGAAAGTGCTGACCAGTGTGCCTAGGCAGCAGATCCCTGGGCAGCCTCTCTTGAGTCCCATGCTCCCAGCACAGCCTAGGGAGAACAGAGGCTGACACAGGACATGGAAGACAGAGTCAGCTGGACCCGATGCTCGCTCCCTCCCCACAACACCCGATTCACCCTGAAACTGACACGTTCTCAGGTAGAGGAGGAGGTTGGAGAGAGGACAGGGGTAGATGAAGGGGGAGGTGTAGAGGAATCCTGCAAATAGCTAAGGTTATCTTTCCAGCCAGTGTGGCAAGATGAAGATTCAAGATAGAATTAAATTGAGTTAGAGAAAATTACTAGGGTAAAGCATATGGAATTGCTGATATTTCACAGTTTTTGACTTATAAAAATCAGCTTCATATGGTTCAACCTGTAAAAGTTACAATATTTCTTGTGTCCCCTCAGTTTGTAAAATAGTCATATCTGCCTCATCTGTTATAAATTGTTTATTGTCTTAGAGAAACTCAGGTATAAGAAATCATAATCAGGAGAACTGGGGTTCAAATTGAAACATTGAGATGAATTTGGGCTACCCATGTTAGAAATTTGATGAATGAGGTCTCCAAAGCCCAGATAACAACTGACATGTGGAAGGCTTATTTATTCAACTCTATAAACCAGCATCAACTGATTGAATTTTCTTTCTTTAGTTCACTTTCTAACTGGATCCTAGTAATATTCCTTCACAAAATGGGCTTATTAAAAAGCTCAGGAAGATCTGAGGTCTCCAGAACTTCTCGGGGACCAAGGTAAATTGTGGGCTGTGTTCCTTGACAAATTCTTTATCCTTATTAAATTTTTAGATATAGCCTCATCTGGTTGGATCTAGAATATAGATTACACATTTTTAAAGAGTGACTCCCTAGATCACCAAGATTATAGACATTTCATCTGCAGTGAATACCAAAACATGCCTCACACATCTTGAAAACAAATGTACCCAATGCTCTAGCAAATTTTTTATCTAGAAATTTACTTGAAGAGTATAATTAAAGATGTACTTGAAGATGTAAATACAAAATTCATATTAGAGAAAATAGCAACTAGAATAATTCGAGTGGGGTTAATTTACAAAGGTATGGAGGAGTTGTAGGAAAACCACAAACAGTGGTGTGGATACCCAGAGCTTCCAGCAGCAGCAGAACTGTCCCCATTAGGCCCAGTAAAAAAAGACAAGGGAAGGACTGGTTTTGAGAACTAGGAAGAAAGGGTGGTGTAGGGTTAGCCTCATAAGGATAGAGACTTTCAGTTATGGAGCACAGCCAGCTCTAGGAGATCTGACAAGGAGGGAGCCGGGATGAATACTCTGACCTCACTCCTGTCCTTTGCTCCAGTCTTCTGCTGGGGCTGGACCTAACAGGAAGCTAGAGGGCAAAGGAACGAGTTATTATACTCCATAAAGAGAGTGGAGTTGAGAAAAGGATGGAGAAGAGTAGGAAGTGGATCTGGAGGAATAAAAGATTTCCAACATAAAAATGTTCATTGCAGCACTGTTTATAATAACAAAAGATTAGAAATAGCCCACGTGTCCCAAACTAGGGGAATTTTTTTTAACAATTTAAGGTACACGTACCAAGTGAAATCCAGTGCAACCATTACAAATATTAATGTAAAAAAGCTCACAAAGCAAACTGTATAACATGCCTTATCTTTTGTTTTAAAAACTATATATGGATATCAATATGTGTTTTTATATGTGTATATATACACATACAGTACATGCGCACACATTCATAGGGAAAAAAAGGTTTAAAGTATATGCACCAAGATGTTAATGGCAGTTATCATAGGGAGAGTAGAGTTATAGTTAATTTTATGCAGGGTTTTTTTGTTTTTGAGGAAGGAAGGTTTAATGTAAAAAGTTACTAACTATAGCAGAGGATTGGAGTAACAAGGATTCAGCTGATAAGAAACAAGAACTCTAAAGAATATAAGAAGGGCAGATACAAGGAGCTGCCACAACCCCTAAGTCTGAGACAGTAGGCCAAAGGACCTCCCCACCCCACCCTCTCATGTGGCAGGGAGGATACTGAACTGCTGCTGTGCTGTTGAAACTTGCGCAAAGTGTACTTTCCAGGTTTCTGGGTAAACCAGAAGTGTTCTGTTGCAAAACCACTGGAGGGGTTGGATGGGGCTATTGGGGGAAGCTTCTGGCCACAGGAGCCTGCCAAGGCAGTGCACTGGAACAAGGGAGGAAAATCCCATCCATCTGCAATGAAACTTCAGCTTCCTGTACTGATAAAGTTTAACACGTTTATCAGCTGGCAAAGGAAGATTATATATCTCCATTTTTGCAGAACAGGCAATGAAGTATGAATCTGAAGCTGAAAAGTGATAAACTGGTAAGTGGCACACACTCTAAAACCTACCACCCAGAAGGACTGCGTATGAACACACACACCTATGTATCCGGTTTATAACCTGCTATTTTCCTGTGGTAGATGCTGTGGGTATCTTTCTATGTCAATAAATATAGCTCTACATCAACATTTTTCATTGCTGAATAGTATATATACACTCTGTTTTATGTAACTGATTTCCTATCAGTAAACATTTAAATTGTATCCTATTTTTATGAACAATGCTATGTTAAACTTCTTTAAATAATTATTTTCCCATATTAAATTACTAGAAGTTGAATTGTTGGATTAACAGTTCTGTGTTAAATTGCTAAGGGTACCTGTTGGATGCATTATTTATTTGATTTAGTAAAAAGTGCATTTTTCATTTTATGTATTTCTCAAACATGCGTGAAAAAGATGTAACTCAAGCTATCTGATCTGGAATCCAAGTTAAATAAGGTCAGATACCAATGTGGTTCCAGGAGGAATATATCAGAGAGCCATGTATCCTGGCCAAGAAAGCTAATTGTCAAAGATGGCACCTACTCTGGCTTTTCACTAAAGTAGCATACAGGATTTTTTTTTTTAATTAATGAACTTTATTTTTTCGAGCAGTTTTATTAAGGTTCGTGCAAAACTGAACAAAAGTACAGAAAATTCTCCTATACCCCCTGTCCCCACACACATGCAACCTCCTCCGCTATCAACAACCCTCACCAGAGTGGGACATTTGTTACAATCGATTAAACTACATTGACACATCGTTACCACTCAAAGTTCATAATTTACATTAGAGTTCACTCTTGGCGTTGTACAGTTCTATGAGTTTTGACAAATGTATAATCACATGTATCCACATTGTAGTATCACATAGAATAGTTTTACTTCCTTAAAAATCTTCTGTGCTCTCTTCATCCCTCCTTCTCTGCTAACCCTGGGGAAGCACTAATCATTTTACTGTTTCCATAGTTCTGCTTTTCCCAGAATGTCATATAGTTGAAATCCTACAATACTTAGCCTTTTCAGATTGCCTTTTTTTTCTTGGTAATATGTATTTAAGTTTCTTTCATGTCTTTTCATGGCTTGATAGCTCATTTCTTTTTAATATTCCATTGTCTGGCTATACCAGTGTATTTATCCCTCTTGGTTGCTTCCAAGTTTTGGCAGTTATGAGTAAAGTTGCTATAAAAGCCCATGTACAGGTTTTTGTGTGGACATAAGTTTTCAATTCATTTGTGTAAATACCAAGGAGTGAGATTTTTGGATCACATGGTAAGAGTATATTTTATTTTGTTAAAAACTGCCGAGCTGTCTTCCAAAGTGGCCGAACCATTTTGTATCCCCACCAGCAATGAATGAGAGAATTCCTGTTGCTCCACATCCTCAAAAGCATTTGGTGTTTTGTCAGTGTTTTGGATTTTGGCCACTCCAACAGATGCATAATAGTAGCTCATTGATGTTTTAATTTGCAGTTCTCTAACGATGTTGAACACTTTTTCATGTGCTTAGTTACCATCTGTTTATCTTCTTTGTGAGCTGTCAAGAGCTTCTGCCCATTTTCTAATCAGGTTGTTTTTTTTACTGTTGAGTTTGAAATGTTTCTTGTATCTTGGATAATAGTCCTTTATAGTTGCATCTTTTGCAAATATTTCCTCCTAGTCTATGGCTTGTTTTCTTATTCTCTTGACAGTGTCCTTTACAGAGCAGATGTTTTTAATTTTAATGAAATCCAGCTTACAAGTTTTTCCTTTCATGCATTATGCCTTTGGTGTTGTGTCTAAAAAGTCATCATCACCCAAGATCACCTGGGTTTTCTCCTGTGTTGTCTTCTAGGAATTTCAGAGTTTTGTGGTTCATATTTAGATCTGATCCATTTTTTTGTAAAGAGTGTAAAGGTCTGTCTCTAAATTCATCTTTTTGCATATAGATACCTAGTTATTCAGCAACATTTGTTGAAAAGAGTATCGTTACTCCTTTGTTAAAGATCATTCAATTATAGTTATGTGGGTGTATTTCTGGGCTTTTTGTTCTGTTCCACTGACCTATTTGTCAATTGTTTTGCCAACACACTCTGTCTTGATTACTATAGCTTTGTCATAAATCTTAAAGTTGGGTAATGTCAGTCTTCCAACTTTGTTCTTCTCTTTCAGTATTGTGTTGCCTACTCTGTGTCTTTTGTCTCTCCATATAAACTCTAGAATCAGTTTGTGCATATCCATAAATAACTTGCTGGGATTTTGTCTGGAATTGCATTGAATCCATAGTTCAAATTGAACCTATAGGCCAATCTATAATCTCTTGACAATATTGAGTCTTCCTATCCATGAATATGAAATATTTCCATTTATTTAGTTCTTTTTTGTTATTTGTATCAGTTTTATAGTTTTCCTCATAAAGATCTTATACATATTTTGTTAGATTTATACCCAAGTGTTTCATTTTGGTGGGTGCTTATATACATGATAATGTGTTTTAGATTTCACATTACAGTGTTCACTACTCATATATAGGAAAGTTACTGACTTTTATGTATTAACCTTGGAGCCTGTCACTTTGTTTCAATTGCTTATTAGTTTCAGGATTTTTTTTCTCTTTTT